ACAAAGAATTAAAATTATATCAAAGACTTAAACTAACTTTTGAATTTAAAATTATATTTTTAGATTTAAATACGAAATGTAGATGAATATAGGTAATAGAATGATTGCACAAATTATACTAATTGATAGAATACTTTTCCATTTTCTATAGATATTAAATATTTGAATTTAAAATACAATTTTACAAATTTAATTACTAATATAAATAGTCCAATAATTAGTTCATTTGGGAAAAACTTTTTAACAAAATTTAAATGTAAATTTATAAAAAATCAATGAATTTGAATGGAAATTATTGTAAAATTCTCAACATACCAATAATCTTCAATATCACATATCAATAATTGACAATCAATTCCAATGTTACATTTTATAGATTAAAAGATTAAATTTGAATATTAAAATTATATATTCATTGTTATCGAGAACAAAATACCACACACACACACACACACATACATACACATACATATACACAAACACATACACATGCATACAGACACATACACATAAACTCTACACACAACATATGCACACATGCATGGACATGCATACACATGCACAAACATATACAGACATACATATATACGCACACATATACGTACATACATACAAACACACACACACATGCATACACATACACGGACATACAGACATACACATCATGCAGACATATACATACATACATACATGTTATTAAATGAATTATATTTTTAATCAAAAATAACTAAATATTAAGAAATAGGTATGAAAATGAAAATTATTTGTTGAAAATTTAATCTTAGAAGTAAAATCTAAAAATTAACAAAATTTAAAGAGAGAAGAAAAGGAAAATAAAGAAGGATATTTGAAATGTTCGTGAATAATGTTTAACTATCATTAACAAAATTTATGAATTGACAGAATAATGGATTGGATAGGAAGTTGAATGTTTGATTAATGATAACGTAATTAAGTAACATTAGTAATAATAATAATTTATAACAATAACAAATATCTTAGGAAAGCAAAAATTATAAAAAAAGAATTTAATTAATAAAAATTGATATAAATCAAGAATTTGATCTTATCATTGATAAAAATGAATGCATAATTTCATACAACACTAAAATTTTTTAACCGAAAAATCTATAGAAAATTCATTAAAATAAAATATTTGCATTTTTATTTTGTTAATTAATCAGAAATCAATAATTATTCTTATATTACTAATACTTACCATTCATTTTAATCATATTGTATACATATTCTATGATATTGTCTTGTAATTACTTATCTTCTCTTGCGTTATCCCATAAAACATGAATCATTTTATTAAACCACCTTTTTAAGTAATTAATTATGTCACTATAACTGATAATTGTAATTGGAAAACAATCACAAATCAATTATAATAAAATTTTTAAATACCAATTACTGTATGCTACCAAATAGTAATATCATTGCTTAAGCTATGAAATGATTCAAAATTTAAATTCAGCTAAGTAAAAATTCAAATTAAGTTTTGGATTCATAAATGAACTTTTGCCAGGGATAATAATAATACAATAGAACATTCAATGAATACTTTTTTTTGGAAACGTATAACAATTAGGTCGATAAATTTACTTGGCTCATTTTTTCTCTCCTTTTTGGCTGAGATTATTTGGCTCATTTTTCCATCCTATCATAAATATGTTTGAAACAGAAGAAAGGGAAAGAAATTGAAAAAGAAAGTAAAAATGTTATTTTAGTTTAAATTTGCTTTCAGTTCCAAAATGATCATTGCGTTTTGCTTTTTTTTTCGGTTGACCAATGAATTAATTTAATTTGATTAATTGCTTCATTTCCATTTGTGTAATCAAAGAAAATTTCAACCCTTACTTCAATTTTGAATTACAACATTTTTTGGAGGATATCTATACACAAAAGGAAACATCAAAGCATAATTAGTTAACTAATTAATCGTTTATCTTTCAATTATATTTTCTTGCAATTAATTAACTGTTAGCCACATTTATTCTATTACCAATCCATACACTTCATCCTTTTTTTTCTCATACACTCTTTCTTTGTTTTAAAAAAAAACACGATTTATATTTTTTTTAAAAAAATTTCAATTTGTTCTATTGTCGAAATTTTTGAAATTTCAAATATGAAATTCTTTTTATTTTTAATTTCATATATTCTTTTTACTACCTATATAGAATTACTATTCATTCCTCATAAATCTCTCATTTTTACTTTCTTTTTTTGTTACAGTATAAATCATCTTTATCACTAATTTTGACAACATAATAGTAAAAATTAATTTATTAAATTCAAGTAGATAATAATGAATAGATTACTAAAGCTTATCTTTACTCGTCAAAATCTCTTCAACTATATTAAATTATTTTATTCCTTACAAAAAAGAAAAACTTTTGCTTCTTAGTTTTGCATAAAAGAACACCGTGCGGAAATAATTTATTTCGACAAAATAGCAAAATAATAATTATAATAATAGCAATAATAATAATAATAATAATAATAGCAATAATAATAATAATAATAATAATAATAATAATAA